TAAATTGTTATCTTATAATAAAAAAAATGAATAGGCCGAATAGTTATGATATATCGACTTTATAAAGAGCAAATAAGTTAGTTCTCTAAGATTAATTGCATATCCCAGTCAACAATTAAAGAATGAATATTAAGTTTACTTTATTACTAATGTAGATGAACAAAAAATAGCTTTCAATCACTTAGTTAACATTTTAACGAATCAATGGCTTTACATCGCTGTACAACCGAGCAAGTCTCCGTGGCGCAATGGATAGCGCGTTGGACTTCTATGGTATAAATCGATGACATTCAAAGGTTGCGGGTTCGAATCCCGCCGGAGATGCTCGTTATTATTTTTTTTTTCCAACTTTTCACAAATTTATTTCGGAGTGATTATTATCCCATGCTTCTTAGGAATACTCAGTGATAAATTCACAAATGATTCTAATCACAGATTATAATTTAAGAAAAAAGTTGATGAAATAATTTAAGAACGATTCCATTCCTTTTTATCTTTTTTCACTATTTAAATTGTTATCTTATAAAAAATAAAAATGAATAGGCCGAATAGTTATGATATATCGACTTTATAAAGAGCAAATAAGCTAGTTCTCTAAGATTAATTGCATATCCCAGTCAACAATTAAAGAATGAATATTAAGTTTACTTTATTACTCATGTAGATGAACAAAAAATAGCTTTCAATCACTTAGTTAACATTTTAACGAATCAATGGCTTTACATCGCTGTACAACCGAGCAAGTCTCCGTGGCGCAATGGATAGCGCGTTGGACTTCTATGGTATAAATCGATGACATTCAAAGGTTGCGGGTTCGAATCCCACCGGAGATGCTCGTTATTATTTTTTTTCCCCAACTTTTCACAAATTTATTTCGGAGTGATTATTATCCCATGCTTCTTAAGAATACTCAGTGATAAATTCACAAATGATTCTAATCACAGATTATAATTTATGAAAAAAGTTGATGAAATAATTTAAGCACGATTCCATTCCTTTTTATCTTTTTTGACTATGTATTTGTTATCTTATAAAAAATAAAAATGAATAGGCCGAATAGTTATGATATATCGACTTTATAAAGAGCAAATAAGCTAGGTCTCTAAGATTAATTAGCATATCCCAGTCAACAATTAAAGAATGAATATTAAGTTTACTTTATTACTAATGTAGATGAACAAAAAATAGCTTTCAATCACTTAGTTAACATTTTAACGAATCAATGGCTGTACATCGCTGTACAACCGAGCAAGTCTCCGTGGCGCAATGGATAGCGCGTTGGACTTCTATGGTATAAATCGATGACATTCAAAGGTTGCGGGTTCGAATCCCGCCGGAGATGCTCGTTAATGTTTTTTCACAAATTCATTTCCGAATGGTTCTTATCCGGGCCCATGCTTCTTAAGAATACTCAGTGCTAAGGACCGCCTATTTATTGCAATATTCATATTCATTATTAAAGGATTATTAGGCCTATTTTTTTTTTTTTTTTTTATTTAAGCAATATTTTGATTCCGTGATATGGCCTTTTAGATATTAATTGCAAAATTGAGCCCACATACTCACACATCATGAAGCATTGTTCTTATTTAAGTGAATAACGATAACATTTGTATACCAATTGTTTCAAATCCATTATTCATTCTAATTATTAATTAGGCCTATATTTTGATGAACTAATAAGAGTTGCCTTTTTGTTTTCTTCACCATGTAGGCCTAATAGGATAGGCCTATTTCATCTTTAAAAAATAGAAATGAGTAATATATTGATAAATCAACTTTATAAAGTGCAAAGGTTTCAAAGATTAATTAGCATAGGCCTACACCAATCAACAATTAACGAAAAAATATTAAGTTTATTTTAGCAAAATTAGATGAACAAAAGACTGCAATCGATTAAATTGGACATTTTGGCGAATCAATGGCTTTTTAAATATGGCTGCACAACTAAAAGTCTCCGTGGCGCAATGGATAGAGCGTTGGACTTCTGTGATGTACCGTAACACAATGATAATCGAAGGCGACATTGGTGACGGGGCCATGGCGATCAATATGAAAACTAATGTCGAACAACCAGTCAAGTCTCTGTGGCGTAATGGATAGCGCGTTGGACTTCTAAGTACGATACGATGAAATTCAAAGGTTGCGGGTTCGAATCCCGCCGGAGATGCCACTTTCTAGAAAATTTACCATAAGCCTATTGACACAGTATCTGAATGTTTCTTTCAGAGGCCTGTGGTTTTAGATGCCAAAAACATTTCTTACCAAATAGGGCCTGTGGCTGTACATCTTATAAATCCACGTATTGAAAGTATTGAAATACACGCCATCGTGTTGGGATTCAATATTTCGACATTAATTATGTCATCATCAGGAATGAAAAATTATCCATATTAGCAAGCTTATATGCACCAGTACCAAAAGTGTTTAACCAATCAAAACATTACCTCTAGTAGGTAACATAGTGATTTAAACAAAAGATCAAAGCATTCTAACTCTAATGATCAAAGATACCTACAAAAACAAAGAAAGCTCTTTTGAAGCTCTAAGCTCACTACCATTCCATCAATATGATTAATTATCCCTACATAATTTTCTGCTATTACCAGTCGAGGAAAAAATTAAATGATTATAAAATACCCGGACAATCATCTTGCTATTTAGAAATACAGCCTAATTACTTCAAAAAGAAGTAAAAAGCCTAATGATGATTATTTATTTGAAAATGCAATACAACCATATTTATATTAAAAAGTAAATAAATAAACAAATGAATTGTAAAGTAAATCAAAAATAAATAAATAAAATCTAAATTAGTTAAAATACAAATAAATAAATAAAAATATAAATAAATAAATACACAAATAAATAGATAAAAAAATATAGGTTAAGTAGGCCTAAAAAAATTTCCAGCGTAGAAAAAGTGGTGATAACTTTCTTGAACTGCATTTATTAAGGCTCTAGGGCCTACACTGTACAGACTACAGTAAATTGACCATTTTGATATGCTATGCTACTAACTCAAAATCCTGTCCGATGTCCGATTTCAGAGCCAGCCTGCATCGTGTGTGTGGTAGGGTAGGCCTACGGCACACAAAGGGTTAGGCCTAGGCCTACTACGTATTTTTGATAACCAATCAATTTGGTAATTCTTTTAACAACAGTTTGACCCAGGCCTAAACAAAGATAGTTAATTTAGCAGACTACCCACCCAGCCTTCCAAAACAACTTTACTTTTATCATAGAGAAAATAGAATATTTTCTGTATGCTTTTATTAAACCACCCGGAATGCTAAGAACGATGCTGCGGTAGAGAAAGCAGCCAACGTCATCAACATCTCGTATTCAAAAGAACTAGTCACATTAAAGCCGACAACCGTTACGTTCGTCTCCGTGGCGCAATGGATAGCGCGTTGGACTTCTAATGTTGTGACAGCTGGCATTCAAAGGTTGCGGGTTCGAATCCCGCCGGAGATGTTCTCTTTTTCGTATTTTTTTTTTTTTCATTTTTTACATCTTTATATCGATAATTGTCATCAAATATATACTTCAGTTCTATACTAGGCTGTACAATTTCTTTTTTAACGTTTAACTTCTAATTCTTAAATTAAAATATTAATACAGCCGCGCTACATGGATGATGAAATCACAACGCTGTGACGTAAACAGCATATATAAACTAGAGAGGGCGCAATTAACAATTCTCTCCTGGCGTTGTTTCGTACATAACACGCTCGCTACCAATAATATTCGAATACATTTCATTAGTTCTCATTCACCATTTCCATTTCGACTGAATTTACCGTTTGTTATTACGGTAGACCTTATAGGAGCGACATGCTACTACAATACAAGCTCTTACAATCTTCTTGTTTAGATTCCATTGGTCCTTAAACCAAGTACAAATAATTGTTTATGTTTTATACTTACAATGTATATTCAATTATTTATTTATTCCGTACAAAAATTAAAAAAAATGAATGAATATATAAAATTAAAACTAAACTTCAAGACCTACCGCACTATAACAACAGGACTTTACAATAGGAATTTTAACCATAGAAACATTTGGCTTAATAACAGATGTGTTTATTGTACATATTTTCGTTGTATTAAGTACGGTAGTAAGTTTGTAGAAGGCGAATTATTTAGAAAGCTGGTGATGGGTGGTTAGAATAGGCAAACATCAAACTTATCTGATCAATATGATTGCCAGTTGTTGTCACTGAATTGTTTCAGTATATACTGCTACCTATATATATATATATATATATATATATATATATAATATAATAATTATATATATAATTTTACTCATATTTATATATGAGAGTTTTATATGTATTTCTGATGTCTTGATGTGTCACGTCTTTTGGGCGTTTTCCCTTTGTTTGGACCTTGAGTCTGTGGAACCTGCCCTTTTGCTTCCTTTTTTATCTGTTTGTAAGTTGCAATAAATTGAATAAAGTATATAATGATATTCTAATGGGTATGATACTCGCCTAACGGGTATGATACATATCGAGAGGTTGCAGGTTCGAATCACGCCAGAAACTTTTTTAATACACATCTAAATAAAGTAACTTTTCGTTGAAGGACTATGCTTGATAGGATTATAATATCTTATTTTTATTCGAGCACTGTTATTATTTATCTATTTGTTTATATAGTATTGTGTAAGGTGCTACGTAGCAAAACTAATTTGAAAATTTATAGATCGTATCAAACATTCATCAACGCAAGTTCCTTATTAAAG